GGATTAGTCTTAGTCTGTATTACAGAAGGACCGGAGGGTGGTGTGACAAGTTTGTTTCTCAGAGAGAAGTTTAAAGTTTTTAAATTTTTTTTTTTCATACTGTAGCACTGCGCAGATGAAGAGTCAGGAGAGGCCATATTTTCTGCTCAAAAATGCCCTTTTATTTTAAACATGGCAGATAAACCACTTGCCACACACAGGTTACCTAAAGCCATAAAATTCCTCTCTAGAGTATCATTCTTAAAAAAGGATGGTTTCTCAAGGGTTCTTTAGTAGTAAAAGGATACATTCATTTCATGAACACAGAACAGCATAAAACATTTTTGCACATAACACATATTTTAAGAGCTTTTGAACTTGATTTATAAGGATAAAAACGGCCCCTCGTGTACGTTTATGACATCTGTGAGTGTCAACAGCCAATGAGCTGCTCTGCTCGCCAACAAATCAACAGTAATGCCAGCGTTCCGCTGCCTATTTGCAGTAGAAAAAAGGAAATATACAGGTACATTTTCTTTGCTTTGTTAGTGAAATATGTCTTTCTACTTTCTAAAATTAAAATTTCAACTTTTCGTTTTTAGCCATTGAGCTCAATTTACCCCCATTTGGCAGTTCTGTTTTTGATATAATGGGTGGAAATAGGAAGTGGCCAGGCTCATAAACCGACTCTGATATGACATCCTGGAATTCTCCCGTCCTCCACATTTTAGCGTTTTCCTGCTCACACCCAATTCTAGCGTCAACGCATAACTTGGGCACATGGACACTACAGATTACACTTGCAATTCCAGATCATTGGTTGGTGCTCCATCACATTCTAAAGTCAGTGCTCTTCTACGGTGGCTGTACAAGCTGTGGGTGCTTTTGAACTCCTGTATCAGCTGTGAGTCCACCTTAATGTGGCTGAATTTACCAATAAAAAAGGGTGTCCACAAACTTTTGGACACATAGTGTATGTGACATGGTGCTGCAAAGCATTACGCAAATCTCTCAAGAGGTTACATAACACTAGAGTGGCAATGACAGAGACTCCATTCTCCCTACTATAAGTTGGTGTATCATCAAAATGATTTTGAAGCTGTTATTTTAGGGTAAAATTGTAACATAATGTAGCTTAAGTGTTCAGTTCTTTTTCTGGCTTGAAAACTAAGCTGCAAAAACAGACCAACGAAATGGCCTATTTTTGTGAAGTCACAAAAACCAACACATTTACACGTATATGCCTATTCAGCCCAAAGTAGTACAGCCCCGCCCATTCATATTGCAGTGTGTATTGTAGTGTTTCAGATGGGGCTATACAGGGCAGCCAATCAGAACAGAGGTTATTTACATAAAATAGCATCAAAGAAACTGTAACAAAGACATTCTTAGAGGAAAATAAAGGTTTGAAAATTGTGATTAAAATTTTAATTGTGACTGATAAATAAAAAAACACCGATATTATGACGGGACCTCAGGAGAAAGATTCTAAGGAATAACTTAACGAGAAGCAAACAAATGACTCTCTTCTGTCTGTTTTACAGTAAGTTCTTTGTGCAGAAATCTCATCAACCATTTTGCTGCAGCCAAATGGGGAGAATTTGGCAGAACTGAGATTCAACAAATCCTGGGGTTCGGCTCCAAATTGTTGAGATTCACTGGATACTGGTCACGACATCATTTGACGTAAGTTTTTTTCTATGCCAATGAAGAGGGTCAGGAGACCAGATGCAGTGATGCAGTTCTTTATTCAATAGCATGTTGTGATGTCAGTTTTGGCCCACTCTGTGTTCGACTAGAGTATCTGTTAGACATAAACTTAAAAATATACAGACTCTTCAGCATATAATACTGGAAACTCAGAAATACAGAATAAAGAACATACATCACTACAGATAAAGAATTGAATAAAGCAAAAACTAAGTGAAACAAACAAAAATCTATAATACATATTATCCTGCTGATAAAGAGGTAAATGTATTTTTAAATCAATGTTATTTTGAACTAAAGAATCTTGATATGTAGCTTCAGAATGGTCAGTTGTGACTAGTTCTTCTTTCAGGCTTGTAAGTAACTAGTTAAGTCTCAACTAGAAGCCACTACATGTTTTGCATGTTTATATATAAATGACCTGACAGTATCTAAAGTATCTATCTATGTTCTCAACTGTTTATGAACATACCAGTTGCTTTGTTTGTTAAATATGGGAAATAAATCCTTGTGATCTATGAGCACTTGTGGCCTTCTGAGCTTGCAGTGAAACCCACAGATAGCTTTATGAGGAAGTCGAGCACAAGTCTTTCCCCTATTAATCTGATACAATCCTTTAACATTTATCTCTCTGCTCCTATAGGGCTATGAAAAGATTAATTGAGTGGTAGGCACGCCTTAGTATAGTTGAAGAAAGGTGAACAGGGTGGAAAGAACCTCAGTAGGCTTAAGGACTGGTGTATAGAGCAGTATTAACTCCTCTGTAGGTTTGAGAAAGGTTGTATGGCAGCAGGGACTCCTTAGTTAGGATGTGAAAGGGTGAATAGGGTTATAGGAACTCCTTAAAAGGTATGAGAAGGGTAAACAGAGCAGTATGAACTCCTCAGTAGCATTAAAGGAGGGAAAATACAGTGGTTGGAACTCATCAGTAAAGTTGAAGAAGAGTGACTTGGGCAGAAGGAACTCGTTTATAGTGTTGAGAAAAGTTGACTAAGGCAATAAGAACTTTCCATAGTGTTGAATAAGGGTGAACGGAGCAGTAGGAGCTCCACAAAAGAATTGAGGAAGGGTGAATAGGGTAGTAGAAACCTCTCAATAGGGTTGAGGAAGTGTGAATAAGGGGCTAGAAACTCCTCAGTTAGAGCTGAAAAAGGGTGATTTTGACAGACAGAGTAAGGTGCCGTACTATGCGTTGTAATATGTTGCACAATAATCACACACCTGTTTTAGTTTCTGAATGTTTGTATCAGTGTCATAAAAGCATGATGGAGCTGAGACTGCGCTTACTGACTTGCCTCAGCCATGCATAAATCATTATGTGGTCTTCTGTAAGGATTTATGCAGTGACTAACTGTGTCAATGCAATTGTGAAATGTACAAGTTTGAAATGTACCAACTGACAAGATTATAATTTGCTATGACTCTTATTACAAATGAACACTGCTTCTAAATGATGACATATGCATTTAATATTCGGGAAGCAGCACAAAGACAGCACCCCAAACTCCAAGCACCACCTCCTAAGCCCAGCCTTTTGTTCCAGAGCTGGGCTGCTGAACTGCACCTGACATTAAACCCCGATGGCCATCACTCCTGCCATGGGCATCATTCCTCCTCCCAGCGTAGCACCAGAGAATGTGTAGTAAGGAGAACTGCCACTCACTATTGCCATCCAGATTTGTCAAAATCTAGAGGGTGCTCTCAAGCAAGTTCAAAATGAATGGGTTCCTGTAGGGTTTTGTGCAAAATCAAGCAAAGAAAAGGATGCAAATATTTCAACACAATATTTTTGAGTACTTCTAAACTATAGGACTTTATAAGGTGGCATATATGTATTAATGGTGTCAGTAAGCACAAAATACTTTACTCAGCCAATGAGCTGAATAGCCCACCAACTAGTCAGCACTCAGCAGTGGTAATCCCAACCAATTAGCACTCAGCAGCAGCAGCAGTGCCAACCAATCAGTAAACAACAGCAGTAATGCTAGCTAATCAGCACTCAGCAGCAGTAATACCAACCAGTCAGCACTGAGCAGCAGTAATACCAACCAATCAGCACTAAGCAGAAGTAATGCCAACCAGTCAGCATTTAACAGCAGCAGTGCTAACTAATCAGCACTTATTAGCAGTAATGCCAAACAATCATCACTCAGCAGCAGCAATGCCAACCAATAAGCACTTATTAGCAGCAATAATAACCAATCAGCACTCAGCAGCAGCAATGCCAGCCAATCTGTACTAAACAGCAGTAATGCTAGCTAATCAGCACTCAGCAGCAGTAATGCCAATGACTCAGCAGCTGTAATGCCAACCAATCATCACTCAACAGCAGTAATACCAACCAGTCAGCACTCAGCAGCAGCAATGCCAACCAATCAGCACTCAACAACAGTAATGCCAACCTGTCAGCACTCAGCAGCAGCAATGCCAACCAGTCAGCATTTAACAGCAGGAATACCAACTAATCAGCACTTATCTTATTAGCAGTAATGCCAAACAATCAGCACTCAGCAGCAGCAACGTCAACCAGTCAGCACTCAGCAGCAATAATACCAACCAATCAGCACTCAGTAGCAGTAATGCTAGCGTCCTGCTGCCCAAAAGCCTTATGCTGTAGAAACAGAAAGACACTGATTGGTTCCCTAATTAAATAAATCATTCTGCTTTTCAAAATTAAAGGAAGTTCCCACACAAATGATTAGAAACAAGTTTAAATTTTCATTTTCAGCCATTCAACTCCATTCACTCTTATTCATTGAGGACTCATTTACTGGTGCCCTCTAGCTTTTTTAGTCACGTTTTTGATATTGTGGGAGAAATAGGAAGTGAGTTTTAAATAGGAAGTGGCCAGGTTTCCCTTAAAGCAGTTCTGGTAGCACATGGCACGCTACCTCTGCTGTTTTTCATTTTTAACACCTGACTGAAACACATGGGTCAGGCTACCACTTTTGTTTACAGTCATTACTGTATCTAGGACTTCCCGAAGGCACTACTTTTTTTCCACAAAATTGCTCCCACCTACTGGAAATCAAATATAACTGCTTCAGTCTGTTGTCAGGTCCTATTTATGTTGGTAGTTAAATTACAGACATGTATTCTTTTATTTCACTTCATCCCAAAGAAATCCCCACCGCTTCAGAGACTCCCAGGAAGCATATAATAACAGAGTGTTAAATGCTATGTAGTTCATTTCTTTATTCAAGGAAATTTCACAGCACTAGTAATAGTCTGTATTCCTTTCACAGTGTTTGTGTGTGTGTGTGTGTGTGTGTGTGTGTGTGTATGTGTGTGTGTGTGTGTGTGTGTGTGTGTGTGTGTGTGTGTGTGTAAAAAATAGAGGCTTGCATATAATTTTCTGTTATCATATATATACATATGAAATGTATTTTTTTCTGTACATCATCTTCAAAAACTTTAGGTAAACAATAATTCTCAGTTTGTATAATTACATAAAATATATAAATTTACATTTTTAATAAAATCTGTTATAAAAAGAGGTCATGTTTTCCTGGAGACAGTCTTACTAATACAACTGGGTGACGTAAATAACAGTGCTGTGTAACTGACTCTTAGTGGTTGTTATTTCTGCCCCAGTTTCCAGTAAACTGTAAGTTGTTTATCATTCTCAGATTCCTCTTCTCTTTCTGCATTTGCAGTTACAGCTTTGTCCTCGAGAGGGGGCGCTTGTGTCTCCTTTGACATTTGTACACTTGCACTTTGGGGAGCCTTGACCTTAAAAAAAGAAAGAGTTTTAGTTTTCCATAAAACTTGCCTTAAAATATTATTCTATATGAATTGTTGCCATTTCTACTGCACACCAAAAGTCTTTCTTAAAGGCTGAAACTTTTGGTCTCTAATGCAAGGCTACAGTGTACTGAACAGTCCTTCCAACAGTTTTCATTCAGGACCTCTTCAGTGTAGTACATACCAGGTAAAATGTCATAAAACTAGCAAGTGCAGATAATGATCTTCAGCCCAATGTCTTCATTTAGACATGACAAAAAAGAATTCCTCAGCAATCGTTCTGCACATGCTTTAGAAGCACTAACTGCAGAATGACTGTCACATAAATGCTGCCTTGGGCCTATTTGACTTCCTCTTTTTTTCCCAACACATGTTGGAGACCAGAGACAAGTGGCTATGCAGAGGTATGCCAGATTAGTGCTGAAAGATCTCTTAGAATAGGAAAAGGTTTTATTTCTATCATCTAATGGCTACATTTACTGTAGCTTTTTGTTATTTTCTCTCCCAAAAGATGGCATCATAAATAGCCATTATATGTTATGTTATTCATTATCTTCACTATCTAATCTGGTTCATGTGCTCTCTCTCATTGGTAAATGCCCGTTCTTATGCCACGCAAAAACTATGCTTTAGGCACAAACTATTGTAGTACTACTAGTAGTTAACCTAATGAAACATCTGGCTTTACACAATAAATCTTGGTAAGATAGCACTCTATCAAAGTGTAGCAGCCCAAAGAGTGACGCTGAGCCTAGTACTAAAAAGTTAGCATGGTACTAAAAAGACATGTAGCAACTGCAGCTGTGAAAAGTATAGGCTATGAGAATGGATTATGTAAATAAAGTCAAACAGAAATAAGCCAGAGTAACGTGTCAAAATAATGTAGGCATACATACATTCTTCCCAAAATGCTGAAGATGTTAAGCATGGGTCTAAGAACAAAATAGTGGTGCAATGCCTCTCAATACGCTGTTTTGTAAAGCTCCACTTCTGTTAAAATACTGCCTGAATAAACAGTCAGGAGCAGGAAGCTCACTAAATGTCAAGAGTAATCTAAAGGTCTGTGTTGGTGTGTCGGCTTGTGCATATACTCTAAGAAAGCTAAAAGAAGAAGAAGAAGAAGAAGAAGAAGAAGAAAACTTACAAATTTTGAAGGAACATCATACACTGTTGTTGCTAAATTGCTCTCTGTTGGACTCTGTGGTTTGCGCACCACGCTGTAGATAGTGGATATGCCTTCTTCTTGAAGGGTACCTTTATTCTGATCACAGAGAAAAGATGATGTTAAATAAACTGTGAAAAAAGACATAAAAGACAAAAGAAGGCTGAGTCTCAATAACTAGCAAACTGTCTACGGTGTAATTTTTACCTGACAGTATCAACACATCATACTAGAGAATAAATGATGTCTGCAACAATTTTTTTGTCTGGAGAGCTCATGTATCCTTAAAGGGGAATTCCATCACTTTTTCAAAATGACAAATTTGATAAGCAGTCCTCCATTCCAGAGAAACGAACAAAGTCAGAATTGTTCACAGTGGTGCTGATAGAAACCAGACGTCTGAAGAGTTTATTGCCTCTAAAAGCTCCCTCACAGAAAGTTATTACATTCAATACTTAAGGATGTCTTGACTGGTGCGTGAGAATTGTTTTATGATCATTTTGGCCTGAAACATATTTTTAAAATCCAGTCATGGCAGAAAAATACATGCAGTGTGCTGGTACGGCATAATAGCCAAACGTACCCAAATATAAATTGAATTGTCTAAAATTTACCTCTGTTTTACTATACTCAACATTAAATATGTGTTTACTGGTCGATTTACATAGTGAATAAGACAGAGATTTCTGCTGTAAACATCACAACCTCTGGTTCTTATCACCACCACAGCACAGAAATCAGGGTTGGTAAGTTTCTAAACAGTGTACCATTTTATATAAAAACCACTCTGAATGACTGTTTATAACTCACCCATTAAACTATGAAGAAATTTTGAATTAAAATTAAACTTCTCCTTTAAGTGACACAATGCAACAACAAGCCTTCTTGAAAAATGTTTCCATAATGCAGACAAGCACTTTGAGTCCTCATCAAATCATCTCAATTAGTTATTTCAACCAATTTATGGTATTTCACTTATTCTTTGTCATGAAAGTGTCCGAATGTTATTTTGTTTCTGTCATTTAAGGATGCTTTCCAACCTATTAGCCTGTTTAGCTGGTCAGACTCAGAGTGCAACTCCTATTTATTTCCTTTCTATTTGGTCTAGATGGGTTTCACATTCCAAATATAATCAGACAAAAGGGACAGTTTCATGCTTTGGTATTTTAAAGATTTTTTTTTTTTTAGTTTGACACCAAAGTGTCAAACTTAAAAAATGTTACCAAAAAGGTTTTTATGCTGGACCACTGAGTTACCAAAAATATTGTTATTATTACTAGTTTGTGCAAATTATGAGCAAAGTTAAACTGTCTGCAAAATGTGTATTTGCATTTTAAAATGGTTACTTGAGATATTCTGTGCGTATACGGTGCAAAACATGATAAAAAACATGCTTATTAATATTGATTTGCTATTTTATTTTAGTAACATTTGTCATTTTTTTTCCTGCACAAATTTACAGTAGACAACTACTGGGAGTGGCAATACTTGTACTGCTGTCACTTAAAAATACTGCAACATTACAGTATTCTAGGAGTTCAGTTGACTGTGAAGTCACAGTATACAGTCACTATTTACTGCTTTTTAATATGGTACAGCAAATTACAAAGATAACATATTAATGTTTTACTTTATCAGTTCTATATTTTTGTAAATATATGCTCATTCTAAAATTGATGCCTGCAACACATTACAAATAAATTACGATGGGGCTTAATTTAAGACTAGGAACACTGTGGAAGGTTAAAAAAATATCTTAAACAGATGATGCAATCATGCTTTGATACCATCCCGCAAAGGCCTAGACCTTTATGAGCAAGAATGAGTAGAGGTTCACCAGTTTGCAAAAAAAGGAAACAACAAAAAAACAGTTTAAGAATAATGTCCCTCGATGAGCGATTGCAAGGATTTTAGGTAATTTACCCTCTGCAGTGCATATCATCAAAAGATTCAGGGAACCTGGAGGAATCAGTGGCAAGGCTGAAAACCACAACTAAATGTCTGTGACCTTTGAGACCACAGACGGCACTGCTCAAAAATCAGCATGTTTCTGTGATGGATATCACCACATGGGCTCAGGAATACTTTGACAAACAGTTGTTAATAAATACTTTGTGTATTAGTGGGTAACCTGGTGTCTCAATGAGTAACTTGCTCCTCTACAAAGGTACAATTAACGCTGAATATATTTTGGAGCAACATATGCTGCCTTCTAGACATCGTCTTTTTCAGGGACATCCATGCTAATTTCAGCATAACAATGAAAGCCACATTCTGCATGTGTGACAACAGCATGGCTCCACAATCAGAGAGTACGGGTGCAAGACTGGCCTGCCTGCAGTCGATAGCCTGTCTCCCATTGAAAACATGTGGCGCACTTTACCCCTGTAGGGTTGCGCAGCTGAACTTTTATAATGGAAGAAAAAAAAATTCTGCTTTCAAAACTGGATCAGTTTTTGCCTTTGGTCTCCAAAAGAATATTAAATATTTTTAAAAAGAAAGGTGATGCAACATAATAGTAAAATCCTCCCATCCTCTTCTTTGGAACATTTACAGGCATCAAATTTGGAATGAGCATAAATTTACAAAAACAAACAAACAAACAAAAAAAAAACAATAAGGTTCATAAGTTAAAGCATAAATTATTGTAGTTTTGTACCATTTTCAATCTAATTCAGGTCAAACAGAATTTACTAATCACTGCTTTCTGTTTTATTAGCATTTCATATACTGTCCCTGGAATTAGGTTTATACATTGTGGCTAGTCAAAGATGAACTTATACTAGCTAGCTCTGTCACACTAGGCTTTTGTTTCAAATGGCCAGCTACCTAATTTATCTTATCTAGCTAGCACTAGGTTGTTGTTAAAAGTTACTGATCAAAAATTGCTGGTGGAATAAAAGCTCTCTAAAAAGGATGTGTCAAGCTGTTTTATAAGGCTACATTCCTTTTAAAATGCTGCCTACCTAACTAGTGGGCTGCAATCTACTATACCTCTCCACAGTTGCTTATCACTGAGTAGACATTTAGATATGCCTGTGCTGATATGTGTCAGCTTAGATATTACTGTTATTACCAAGATAAATATAGAAATAGGAAATGTATCTACCTGTTGTTTTTTTCTGGAATAGAGGTATGCTGTTATAAGAAAGCAGACCAGAAGTAAGCATCCCAGTCCACAAGCTATCAAAACTGGCCAACCCAACAATATTTGTGATTGATCCTCCACAGAACTGTAATTTTTTGAACCTATAAAAATCAAGGAAAAAATACATATTTGGTTAACAGGTATCTACAAAAGATGAGAATAGTGTACAATTATTTTTGTAGTGTACAATTGTTTTTCTGGCTTGGTTGAAGTGACAGGCCTCGAGACCTTGCCCGGCTGCTGAGTGATACAGCTGACCGATGGAGGCACACCACAGGCGGGGCTAGTGGACGCACAGGCCCGGCTAGAGGGCTGCCATGCTAAAGGCTAATTCAAGGCTAAAGGCCATCATTACACCGAGAGCCTGACAGTTCTTTCACTCTGTCTGTAAAATTAACTCAGATTGTAAGTGACCACACAGCGGCAGACGAGTGATTACTTAAAGAAGCAGCTCAGCCACACAGGTAAGCGGCTCCGTTAGCGTGTTTGCTGACGTGTCACTGAGTTCTGTCTACTGGCGTATATACAAGCATCAGAAATTGCTTTGTGGTGTCAGTCATAGGTATCCTTATCCCCATCACCAATACCGATACTGCGTTTAAGTGCCAGTATTAGTATCAGTGCAAAGCTATTTACAATAGCTACTTCAGGAAAATAAAATGAACTGAATCAGTGTTACTTACATGTGTCACTCAGGTGTATTGAGCTCGTCTTTGTGCTCACATGGTTGCTAGCTGTACATTCCACTTTTTCATTGTTCCTTACAGCAACAGTAATGTTAACCTTGGTCAGTGAGGTATTTGTCTGCAAATCTTGAGTGCAAGTCTTGAAATCACAGTCGTACATCATTGAGTCACCATCAACAGAGCATTTTACTGAGATGAGGCAAAGACGAGTGGAGGAATTCAACTGAAGTATATATGTGTCAATGACCGGCTCTGAGACAGCCTCTGGAAACGATAACAAACAGTACATCAGTAATGAAAAATGCTGTAGTGCCAAGCTGCAAGCCACACAGAGCGGTAAACTGTAGTAGTGCTGGTTATAATTTCATACGTGTTTAATCTGTGGGTGATTTTGGTGTTATAAAGATATACAAGTCTGTCACTGTAATAACATGGGTAAAATAATTTGACTGTATATTAGGCCATTTTTACCATTGTGATAATATTGTGATCATTTTGTTAGCTGATCTAAGTGCACATTTTCATACTGTTTGATTCTTACATGTTAAGTATTTCAGTATTATAGACACATTCAACCTGTAAATCTGTGGGCAAAGGATGTGTTCGGATCTTAGCTTACCCTCTACTGTTAGATGGAATTCCGTGATCTCGTCCTCCCATTTTCCACATAGGGCTTGATAACGGCCGCTGTCACTCTCTGTGACATTTTTTATAATTAAAGAGCCATCAGTGGCATTCACACTGAACTTCTCTGTAAACCTTACATCTGGATTTTGTTCATTTACAACTGCGATTAGATCAGCATCTTTCTTCCACCTCATCTGATTTGGTCGTTGTTTTCCCAATGAGAGATGGACTGTTTTTCCCACTAGTTCATAATGCTGGTGAACAACATGGGCTGAGTATGGGAAAGAAAAGCACTTTGTGACAACATGCACTATCTGACACCAAAATTGCCTTAACATATAATCGCAGCTTTATAAAAATTTAGTTAATAACAATAATAAATTATAAACAAAACAAAACAGAAGAGAACAACATAAATTTAAGAAGATAAAAGCATTAAATAAGTAAAGAAACTAAAAATAATTTAAAAAAGAAATAAATATGATGGTCAGACAGCTTTTGATTAGTTCTTGCTTCTGAACCCGGGGGATAAAGGCTTCTGCTTAAGGCTCTAAAGAGAATGTAATGTAAGTGTTCTAACATAATCTTGCTTTTACAAAAAATAAGACAACTGAAAAATATAATTAGAGAAAAAACAAAATCTGGGCTTAGAATTGTTAGGTAAAATCTGTGTTGTCTGCAGGTTTGATCTATTGAAATTCAGAGATTTCCCTTTCAAAAATGCAAAAATCTTGTGTGGTACAGTTAAGTTTAAGATCTTTAAGATCTTAACAATGTCATTGCCTTGGTACACTTTGGGCCGATGAACATTAAAATCCTAAAAGCCATATAAACAGCCTACAGATGAGCTTTTTGACACAGGTAAAAGATGACTTTTGTTTGGTTCTCTCACATTCAGGAGCCCACAGATTGATCAGCACATGGAAACTCATAACAGCATCTTAGTATGAGATTTTCAAGAAGGAAATTTTTTATTCATAAATTCACTCTGATGTTTGTTTTCATCAATAGTCTTCCCAGGCAAGTTATCCCAGACATTCATAAATGCATTTAAGCTTCTCTTTATGAAGACCAAAGACAACTGATAGATTAGTGACTAGGCTGTGATACATAATTCAGTGCTACAAACCTGCTGTGAAACTCATGATGATGAAGACAATGATGATGATGTGAAGGCTGCAGTGCATCGTTACAGGAAAGCTGTCAGGTTGAGAGACAAAATTTTAAACCACATTACCATATCCTCATGACAAGCACCTGCAGTGCTACTGAGGTTTGTGGGTGACGAGAGAGAGAGAGAGAGAGAGAGAGAGAGAGGAGAGAGAGGGAGAGAGAGAGAATCCCCTAAGGGACTTTTTTAAGATTTCCAAACCTTGTGAAGACACAAAAAACACATGAAAATGGAAAGGATAACACTGTGAGGGAACATGCCAGTTTACAAAATGTTTACAGGGATGTTAACTGTCATAAAAATGTGCCATGATAAACAATGTCAAGCATTACAAAAACTGTATATCATATAGACATAGGGTGTAATATAATTAAGGATATAAATCTATAACTACTCTGCCTTATGTCCAGTGTGGCTGCAGGTTTTCACTCCAAACAAGCTGAAGCACAACTGATTCTACTTGATAAATCAATTGGTCTTAGTCTTCAAACATTTCATCAGGTGACCTCCTGCTTTCTTGGAGTGAAAACCTGAAACCACACCAGCCCTCTACAGATAAGGTTGGACACCCCCGATTTATTATGGTTCAATCTAAATTACACAATCAGCTCTGATTCTTTAATTTTGGCTCTGTTTCAGATTTCAGTATCGTTTCTAACAGCATCCACCCTGCAGATTAACCCACTGCCCCCAACTACTCCAAGAAAGTCTTTGTTTTTGTTAAGTTTCTCATAACAGTGAACACAAGAAATATGGATTATGATGATATAATGTTACATGTACCAAATAATAATGTACAAGAACATACCTGATAAAAATATAAGCCAGATTTTTAGAGAAGCTACAGCTATGTGATCGGTCCTGTGCCTCACAAAACGAAAAGAGAGAAATAGTATACGGCCTTTTTCTGACTCATAAACCAGCGTTCAGAGTGATTCATAGCTTATGATTAGTGAGCGAGAGCAAGAACAAAATCTCACTCACTAGACCAAAAGTACCAGAGCTTCAGATGTAAAGATATAAAAATTGATCCATCTTTGTTGTTAAGGAGAGTTGAACAAATGTCTGTGCAATATTGAGAGCGGTACTGTCAAGCAATATGTACTGTACCAGACTGTAATCAGTTTTAAAAGAAAGCAACACATTTGCTACATCTTTCTTTCCGTGAACACAGACCAGTGCTACTATTAAAACCAATAAAATAGCCAGGAAAATTAAATAAAATAAGTATGAAGATGAAAAATTACCTTAGAGGAACCCCAGAAAGCAAGAGAATAGTCAGGTTTCCTGTTTACCCTTGAGTGTCTTTTCTGAAAGTATCACTCAAAAAACCAAACTTTGCAAGATTTCCTGTCAGATGCAAATATCCTTTGATGTGCATGGATGAAAAAGGTTTGGTGCTGACATCTCATTTCCACTAGAAAAGCTATTTTAATGTTTTCTGTAGGACTACGTGTGATCATGCAGGGGAAAACTAGCATAGCTAGACCTTGAGGAGTTGAAAGTGCAGGTTCAGAATATTTGAGCATTTAACTATCACTTTTATAAAGCTAACACTAATTCTTCAAAACTAAGGAAAACTTGTGGCAGAAAACAATATTCTTTGTGTTTTAATGCTGCTTTGTGATTCAATATTTTTGCAGTTCTGCATTTCTCCCTCTGTATGTTGTTGTATTGTGGTTCACTGTTTTTGTTGTGTTTCTTGATGTTGTAGTGTTAGGCCTCAGTGTGACTTATGAATAAAATACAAAAAGAAAAGATAATATGCTGCAAGAGGAGAAATTCAAGCTTATTTTTTTTAGATGGTCTCCAAAGACTGACAGGCTTAACAGAGCATTAAATAGTCAGTGGTTAAAGGGACGGTCCTGCAAAAAAATTACTTTACAAAATGTTCCACCTCCCTCAGATGTAGTCGATCAGCCAAGACATATTGTCTTAATTTTGCGCCTTTGTTTAGCACTGGTGCCACAGGGCTAACATTGCCAACATACACCGACCAGCCACTTCATTAAGCACACATCCTTGTATCTACACTCCATTTCATCAGCTTGGTACAAGTGGATCAGACACAGCAGTGCTGCTGGAGTTTTTAAACCCTGTGTCCACAAAGACAATAGCTCATCTGTTGCTGCACAGTTTATGTTAGTCATTCTCTAGTGCTTTATCAGTGGTCACAGGATGCTGCCCACAGGAAGTTGCCCACATGATGCTGTGGGATATTTTTGGTTGGTGGACTATTCTCAGTCCAGCAGTGTCACTGAGGTGTTTAAAAACTCCAGCAGCACTGCTGTGTCTGATCCACTCTCACCAGCACAACACACACTAACAAGCCACCACTCCATCAATGCACTGCAGTGCTGAGAATGATCCAGAACCAAAATGATGCTTGTTCTGTGGTGGTCTTGTGGGGGTCCTGCAAGTGAAGAACAGCATAAAAGGGGGCTAACAAAGTATGCAGAGAAACAGATGGACTACAGTCTGTAATTGTAGAACTACAAAGTGCACTTATATGGTAAAGAGCGTAGATTCAAGTGAGGTGTACTTGATGAAGTGGCAGGTCAGTATAAACTAGAACTAGATCTTTTCATGTAAATACATCCCCAAAACGGCTTCTAACCCATTTAAATTGATCAAGGTCTTCATTAAGCACACACAGATTTGAAGATGTGGTTCAGGGCACAGAATGTCTTATTGTGTGCTATAAAAATTTACAAAACTTACCTGTTTCAAATTCCACCTCCCCCACTTCCACCTCCAGCTCCTTTGGAGACACTGCATTATTCATTGTTTCAATTGTTTCTATTTATAGACATCTAAACATCTTCAATTTCAAAGTTATTAATAAAAAACAACAACAGAAATCACATAACATAATCTATAGCCTGTGCCCATATGCCTGCGTGAAGAGGAGCCAGAATTCAGTCTGGTGCTATGTTTGGCTGTGTGGTGAGGTTTTGGTTATTTTTATCCTATACCACATCAGCAAGTATGTGTGATCTTAATGAATGTGGTTTAAGTGGTTTGAGAGAAAATTTGGAATAATTTTGTCAACATTAGCTCCAGTGCTAAAATAAAGAAGCAGAATGTGGACAGCAAACATGATCAGCTACATTTTACAGAATCTTTCCTTTAAGCCAGTGATTTTCAAGCTCGACTCTGACAGACACATGCACTGCCAGATTTTAGGCATTTTCAGGGCTGTTTCAGGTCTCTGATGTTCTGCATAGCTACCTGATTAGCTGAATCCAATATGTTTAAGCAGTTTTTCCAAAACCTGATCTTAAAATACCCCGTCACTGCATGCCTACTGTTTTACCTACCTGACTCAATTATCAGGTTGTTTCCAATCCTTTTAGAGCAGAGAAGGGAGTCGGGAAAAGAACTAACATTCACAGTGTACACTGTTAGAAATACAGGTACTGTGCACGTACATTTTGTGTTCATCGAGGTACAAACAATACAAATGTATCCTCAAAGGTACAACAGTGGTTTTAAGGTCCAATTGTGCACCCTAAATAAGTTTTTTTTCCCAGTGGAAAGTATATATTTACATCTTTTCATAACCTAATGATTTGAAACAGAACAATAAAATAAAAAGCCTGGAGAGGAGACGGGGTGTGTGGAGTCAATACAACTTAGAAGATATAATTTGTGGTCCAATAATGTTCCCTGACCACAGGAACTGACGTACTCTTGAAGGTACCACCCCAGTGACAAGAGGGGTTTTAGTTCTGAATAAATTTCTTAGCACTGCTGTGGTTATCACTTCTGGGATGTTTCACACTTTTTCTGAGTAACTAAGTAGTGCTTCAAATGCAGTAAGCAAATGCAGAACCACATATGTCAGCTATTCAGAAAGGCTGTTTTAACTGGTACATTTGATTGACAACCTGGTAAAGAGTCAGTTGTGTGGAGCTAATATACATAGTCAAAGGCAGAAGTTCACCTGTACATAATTGCCAAACACTGGAGCTCCTTCAGAACTGATCATTTATTAAAAACAGTCATTGAAAGTCATTAGCAGTTAAAGTAGTGATGACCCAGTTTTAACACTGAGCTCTATTGAACATATTAGCATGAAAATACAGAATCCCACAACTCAGACCACAAACCACTTTCATTCACTTTTAGTGTTGAACAATACACAGCAGTACTTTGCACACCAATAATATATATATATATATATATATATATATATATATATATATATATAAATATATATATACATATATATATATGTATATATATATGTATATATAATTATATATATATATATATAATATATATATATATATATAATTTGTTTATATCTATAGATACATTCTCTAAAGTATATAATTTATTTTGTAAACTTGATGAAATATGATTCATTATGATACATTTCCCAAAGACTCACACCTAATCAGACATGCTACAGAGCCACAGATACACTCTCAGGCACTCCACACATGCAGAACAGTTATTTCTCAGCACATACAGTTAGTTTTCTTTCAAACAAAGTACAGAAAGAGTCTTTGCGCCAAGTTAAAGTGCTTTTAGTATTGTTAACATACCTCATCAATATGTTTGTTCCAGTGACTAGAAAAACTAGACATAAAAAACTAGATCTATACTCAAACGAGTACTCAACTGGCACTGTTAGGTACAAATATATACATGTACATGCCACATAGAACCCATTCCAGTTCAGTCCATAGATACACAAGAGAAAAGCCCAGGATATAGTACCTTCAATCCCTCTGATCTACACTTCAGTACAGTGGTTCATTATTAAGTATTACATGATCTGTGCCATATTTTGGCCTCTTGGGCTTTCATAATCCTTTCAAAGTCCTTGTCATGAATGTAAAGTACAGAAAATTAAGAGTTCATAAAATCAGTAATTGGTCCATGAAAGCAAAATTATGTTTATCCCTTTGAGTAGTTTTTTTTTTTTTCCTTTAAAAGATGGCACTATGCCTTGTGGCCACAAGGTGGCGATACAGTCTTCTGCGCTAAGCAGGCCCAGTGTATGTGTAAGTGTGTGCTGTGTGCGTGTTTGTCTTAATTCTTTAATCTACTCCGAAGCAGCTTATTCTGAATTCTTTTGATTCCTCTTCTAGTATTTTTAATATTAGTCTGTAGTTCCTATCTTTCCTTTTCTCCTTCATTCTTTTATGTCTAGTCTACACTATATGCCCAAAAGTCTCCAGATATATCTTTTAATTAACTTAATTGGCTACTAATTAACGCCTAATTACTTTAAGGTGCACCCATTGCTGATACAGGTGTTCATTTGCACACATATAACTTGTATAATCTCTATAGAAAAGCATTGCCAATATAATAGAACCTTGGTCACTTTCCTACACATGAGCCTAAGGTCACTATACCCAATCCCACATGTCAGTTAAAGAGGTATTAAGCCCCTCCAATAGCTTTGGGATGTGCTGGACTGGCATTTGTGATCCAGAACTAATCACCCAACATTAGTACCTGACCTCGCTAATGCTCTTGTGGCTAAATGCAATCAACTGCTCACAGAAATGTTTCAACATCTGGTTTAAAGCCTTTCCAGAAGAGCAGAAGCTATTACTGCAGCAAAAAGGGACAAATTCCCTATTAATACCCTTAAATTCAGAAGAAACATTGGATGTGCAGGCGTCTACAAACTTTTGGACATATAGTGTATTTTACTGGCACACAGTCTAAAAGGAAGGGTAAGTTTACTTCAACAAAAAAACATGGCTGATATAAAATCTTTTTCTTTTCTGTTTTAATCACTATCTCTGTATCTCTCTCGCCCTCTCTAATTACACATTGCTAATGCGAACGCTAAGTGGGCTGCTGTCTCGGATTCGGCCCCTGTCCCGCCCCTTTTCCTCCCGGTAGCTCTCCTCCAGCCTCATCTTCTCAGGGTCCGACCCCACAGTTCCACCTCCTCCTCCTTCGCTGCCTTGGTAACGGGGTGTCTGGGGGCTTGGAGGCGGGGCTTGTTTAAAGAGTGGTGGGGTCTTAGTCTTGGCAACCTTGTCGAAGAAGGCAAAATCAGCTACATACTTTCCAGAGGGAGAGAGCGAGACGACGGGTGGGAACTCGTATCCCCACAGGATCTCATCAGGCAGATAGGAGGTGCGCACCTGGCAGGTGGCTGAGGTGGGCTCCACCGTGGCACTCATTATCACCAAAAGCTCAAAATCCGCCAGCTCAGGATCTGTCCACCCACCACCTGGACGCAGAAGAGAAAGAACAGATTATAATTGCTTGATTTTAAAAAGTTATGAAGGTCAATAATGGTAGTCAGATCTCGTCCTACATCAGTACCTGACCACGACTATTAGAGTTAGGCCTATAGTTTGGGCCATATATGTCAAAACTGTCAAAATAGGTGCACCTATGGGATTTTAGTATGTTAGCACTAAGCTATCACTAAATCACATGAACATTTTTGGCTATTCTAGATTAAACACAGATATTGATGGTTGCAAACTGCTTGTAACTGACATATTAAGACATATTTAACTTTAGTTTTACAGACTGTAAAGAAAGTGGCAGTGAAAAGTCTTTCTAACATCTGACTGAAACTGTTAGTCAGACTAACAGTAATATTAACAGTGAGTGACATATGTAGGACTTCCCACCCACTTGAAATGAAAGCTTAATTGGTGGATTCCACTATCAGTTCCTAATAATGTTAGTGATTAATCTGACACCCCAGGACTTCAGTTTAACTTAAGCATTCAACTTAAGAGTTCAGCATAATAAAATAATACTATTACTACAATACCTGTAGAGTTTAAAATAACAATAAGCCTGATGATTATATTAAGTAAACTAAAATAACTAAAAATAAAATAACTAAAAAATTACAGGTGTATTCCTTATTACACATGAATCATTAGGCCTTCAGTGAAGGCCTAGAAGGCTCTGATGGTTCCCCTCTGATTAATTACTATTCAATGACTTCTTATTCTTCCCAAAGGCAAAACATTCTGTGTGTGTCTTCTTTGAAAAATTCATAGTGGAACAGAAAAGGTACTCTACTGCTGGAATGTTTTGATAAAAAGCACCGCATCCATTCATTGATCGTCACTCTGAGGTGGCTATTTTGCATGAGTCCCCCGGCTGAGATGATGTTATCTTTTCTGCACGATCAGTTTTGGCTCACAGTCTTTGGGGAGACATGCATGGCATTTTGGGTTTTCCCTGCTATAACACAAGAGGGTTATCTGTGAATTATCAAGACCTTCATGATCTGAGTGAGGTGTGTTACAGTAAGGAAAGCAAAAAAGTCCAGTGGGCAGGGAATCTGAATTACAATTCAATAGTGTAAGTTTTCAGATCATGGTTATGATAGAAACAACTTTCAGCAAAGCAAATAAAACCTCCAGCACAGCTCTCATTAGCACTAAACAGTGGGCTGAAAGCCTGGACTAATGCCCACACCTTTCACACAACTCAGAAAGACAGTGAACTGGCAGCTGAAAATAGTGATGCATTGAATTTTCCTAGATTCATAAATGCAGATTATTTCCACATGAATAATATATTACAATGACATGATTCAGTCTTTTAGGTTACTTTTGGTTATTGTTCTGTCAGTGTAATGTAGTTTATTCATGTGGAAAGGATAATTCACTGATTCCCTGCAATTCATCATTTTTTCCATTTATAAGTCAATAAGGACATTTCTAGGGCTGGGCTGAACAACAGTTTACAGACTTTGAATCCTTGTTTGGATTTCTGAAGGAGTACCTGAACACTCTGAACTTCTCAAAATCGAAATATTTTTTATTTCATAAATAAATGCAGTTCAAACTATATCCAGTAGGCAGCATCAGTGTGTTTACAGGCCAGCTGAAGTATGTGTGCTGTATGTTGTGACTGTAGCCCTCTCGTTCAAATACAGCTTTTAGGAGTCATGTGGAAACTAAGGCTGTAATAAAGAATGATCATTTTATTTATCACCATCACAGTTCAGTTTGTTTTTATTTATCTAGTTGACTTATTTTTTAGTCTTTTATTATGGAAAGCAGCAGTGAGGGTGCCAACCGTAGGCAGGAGTTGAGCTCAGTCGGAGCTGAGCTGCAGAGACTGAAGCCAAGTATTAGGATATTTTGGAGCTACAAGGCCTTCTGAACCTAAGGAGGACCACCCTGGAAGCGTCTCAGCAGATACCCCACTCGGCTAGTGCCAAGCTTGGAGGACACATGCTACATATTTGCTCTTTAAGCTTATAGCCATATCAAAGCGGTGCAATTTTGTTGCACTCTGAGGCGAGGTGACATGGATACCTGGCATATAGTAAACCAGCTAAAATAGACATAACAACATCTGTTTTTAATTCTTTTCATATATTACTCAGGCAAGCGCTAACATTTAACTGTAAATACTGTCATGACTGTCCTTTCCACAGTTAAGATAATCCCTCTGCTTGTATTTGTCAGTCCCATGCAACTAAACTGCACATACCAGCAGAGAACCTTCAACACAAAACAATGTGAATAGCTTCACTGTCTCTCACACACACATACATACACACAAAAACACACTCACACACACCTGCATCAACATGCCACACTCAGAGCTAGACTCTGTCATCTGTGAAAACAGAATCTTTCCGTCAGCCAGACCCACTTCTGCTTTCTTCAGAATGGAAAACACACAGTTTCATAACTCACATTCAAAATAGCTTCACTAACGTGTTACAGTAACTACAACTTCCTCTATTTCTGTCTGTTTTTTATCTCTCTGCCTCTCTGTGTCTCTCTCTCTGTCTCTCTCTCTCTCTCTCTCTCTCTCTCTCTCTCTCTGACAATGTATTACAGACATTAGTAGTCATTTCTATATAGTAATACAGTGAGATGGACTGTGGTCAGTGGTTTGACTGCTGAACTGAACCTATTACAGCTGAGATCTGCTCCACCATCTTACACAAGCACAATGTAGCATTCATAGCCTGAACTGGACCTCTTCTACTATACATCCACACACTGGGCAACTGTAACTGGACACACACACGCATGCTTACAAAAAGAGCCAGCATGCATGGTTACACACACACACACACACACACACACACACACCACACACACACATACACGTGTTTATACAAATAGACACACACGCTCATGTTGGCAGTAGCTTTCTTAATCTCCTATTCGAGTGCAAATCAATAGCTTTTGTGCAAAAGTAGAAAAACAACTTTTGTGGGTGAAATTTTTATTTACTTTCAAAAGAGAACTATTTCATGCTTGTCCATCATTTCTAGAAGCACAGATTAATCATCTGGACCAAGTAGAGATTTATTAAAGAGCCCATATCCTGTTTTTTTATGTTATGAAATCTGTGCACACTGTAAAGACCTGATTATTTAAATTTACAGCAACAATCCTGCAGTAACCTACTGTATTCCTTAAATAGGCAGATTGCTGTAAAAATGGTGCATTCTGGGAGAAACAAGGCCAGTAAATAGTTGTTATTTGCAAAGCATGTTGGGAAAATATGCCATGCAGTCTTAAGCAGCCTCTCTAAATATTGTAGTGATGGGGGCCGAACTTCCCAGCATTCCTTGTGGTTTTGTTAGTTTTTGTCACTCAGCTTTTACAGTTCATTTCACAGAGTTTTTTACACATTATTCTTACCCTAAACATACATTTGAATGTATGTTACGTGTTTGAGAATTCCATGATGGCATTTTGTGTTTCAGTGTGGCTTTGTGTACTAAAATCATTCATTTTTATATGCCCGATCTCTCTTTATCCCTTAGAATTAAACAGGCTGTACTGTAATGGTGCCGTGGTGCCTGTAATTACGTGACATCAGCTCTATAGCTCTACTCTACCTGATGTCCATCCCAGCCTCTTCTACACTCAACAACATCACCAGACGAATCTTACGGGGCAGCATGTTACTCTCGCTCGAGCTCTCTGAACCACCCGGACTGCTGTCCACCTGATCTCTGATTGGAATTGCTTCCTTTCTAGAATTCCAACTGAAGCAATTCCAATCGGAGATCAAGTGAACGGCTATCTGATTGGTTAGGACCTTCTGTCACTCAAAGTGACTGAGTGATAACACCTTGTAGGCCCTGTAAGATTCTTCTGTTGATTTTGGATAACACTTGTCGTAGCCTTGATAAGCAGGCAACTCCACCTCTTTAACAAGTTTCAGCTATAAAACTAGACTCAGTCAATGATTAGTCAGTCAATGTATTTAAGGGTACAATTTTCAAAAATGCTAATAGATTTCTTTAGGTGGATCAAACTGGCAAAGCACTGAGATTTACTTCTGTGAGTCTACATAAACAAATGCAGAAATAAACTGCCCTTTAGTGACCCCCCGTGGGCATTGTTGTTAAAACATGTGGGGCAACAACATCCACCGCAGCAGAGGGATGATTCTGCTATGATTCTGCTAAGTGAATATAATACAGCCTGAAACTGCCCCAGGATCAGTACCCTCAGAAGAGAAACTAGTGTAGGAGAGCGGATGGAGATTCTATTCTCCAGCTCTTTTCTATTTTATCTATTCATTTTTTAATTCTACAGTTGTATGCAAATGTTTGGGCACCCCTGGTCAAATTATATGTTTTGCTGAAGTCTCTACAGAGAACTCTCTTCTGTACATTTTAAGACACAATTGCTGCTTATTTTCTGAATTTAATATATTGGGGAAATGTAGTCTGTGCAAAGGTTATGGCATTTTCTATTTTGTTTACATTTTTTTCCAATAAGTTAAATTCAGCAAATAAATAGAAATTGTGCACTACAATTTAAAGAAAAAAAAAGCTATATTTTAGTTTGCTCTCTGTAAAGGATGTGTTAACTTATTTTCACTTAGAAGATCAACAAAGCATGTCATTTGACCGAGAGAGTTCAAACTTTTGTGCATGACTGTATATAGCAGAACACCCCTCCCTCTACTGTAGTGAATGCTGCTTATATTATATTGTTGTATATGAAAAATACTATATACACTTTACATCAAAAAGTTGAAAATAAAGATTGTAACAAATATTTTTGTTAATGTAGATCAAAGAAGTTTGACTAAATGTCTGCAGCAATTTGTACAGCTAACTAATAAATAACCCCTTATTACATGTGCTAAGGCTTATTATTCAGGAACATCGGGACTATGATACAAACAGACTGACTTATTCTTAGGTTATAGAAGTGTGTAGCAATACTTTGGACCCACCAGTGGGTCCTGACCATTTAAAGGGTTAAT